CAAAAGCAAAAGTTAAGATTCAACATTTACAAAAGTTAATCAAAAAGGAAAAATCTCACAACCAAGAAATGATTGCTTGAGTAGAGGTTAAGTCTAAATAACGAGTAAATTGCAATGAGAAAACTGGAATACACAGTTTTAGAATTAGAGAAAGAAAGCAAAAAGACTTGTGATTTCTGCTCCAAGTTTGAAAACAAAAATAATAAATCTGTTCATCAAATAAGAGCTCGTAGCAAAGTAACTGGGGAATGAATTTCAGACAACATGGTTTGTGAAAGGTGTGAAGGAAAGTATTGAAATGATGAATTGTTAAAGTGTAATAGATGTGGTAGATTGCAAATCAAGTTAGATTTTGATATTACTACTGGTAAGAATGTTTGCTACTGTCACCAATTAATTTTGGGAGAGCGTGTTTTAATTGATGATAACAGATTTTTTTATTAATTTATGTGGATCAGAATGAATAGGCTAATGCTAACAAATTAGATTTATTAGCAAATAATTTTGTTTTAGTGATTTGATAAAAATGATTTATTTAATTTTGTATTTAGTCGAAACTAATTATTAACTTATTATTAAGTTAATTTGTTACAAAGTTATTCTTCAATTACAGCGAATTCTCATTCCTTATATACATGTTTGATTATATGTATCCTAGTTTAGGATAATTAGCCTAGATTAAGATATTTATCCTAATTCAAGATAATTCTCCCAAGTTAGGATAATTCTCTCTTTCTAGGATAATTATCCTTCTTTGTACACAGGATAATTCTCCTAATCTAAGATATATATCCTGATTCAGGATAATCTTCATTAATTTCTTCTAAATAAAGGTCTAATGCGAACGTGTTACTAATTAATTACTTCTGCGGAATGTAACACGAACTCATATAATTAAATTAAATCATTCGGAAATTATTACAAAATAAAAATAGAATAAAATAAAATTAAAAATAAATAATAGATAAAATAAATAACTAAAAATAAATAATGAATACTAAAAATAATAAATAAAATAAATAATATAAATAATATGAAAATAATATATAAATTATTACTCCGGATTTTCGGGGTTATTGATCAGCAAATTAAGGTCTAATTCGCATTCCGGTGACAAGAGTCACAGTGAGTAAATTATGTTAATATCATAAAAGATTATGAACAAAAAATAATTGAGTTGGAACATCATAATGAAAATTTAATATCAGAAAATAAAAAATTGAAAGAAAAATGGAATAGAAGATTTGATGATCAAGAAGTAAGAATTGACATTATAAAAGAAATTGCTAGGTGTGAACGAAAAAATATATATCAAGATATTGTTAATTTAATTGATGACCAAGAAAGATTCACTTTGGACAATCTTTTATCATATTCAACTTCAGTGGCTTGCTAAACATAATCCAGTTCTTTTTAAGTATATAGAGGCTCTTATTTATAGTGAAAGTGAAAATCAACATGAAAGTGAAAAACTTTTCAAATGTTCTGTGTCAGTAGATGCTGTCTATGGAGTGAGGAATTTAAAATATGTTTCTGCAATTAATTTAGCAACTTCAGCAATTAAATATTCATTGTCAAAATCTAGAACCATTGTTGACATAGATAATCATATTTTAAGTTCTGGTAGCTTTACAAAATTTATGAAATGGCAAGAAAATTTGGCTGGAAAAGCTGAACCACTTCCAAAGGGGTTATTATTTATGGCATTTGACAATGAACAAAAAGGACAAAAAAATTATTTAGATTGTAATTATAATACAGTAATATATATACATGCAGCCCAAATTGGTTTGGTGATTTTGATGGTAGAAAGTAGAAATTAATTACAGCATTCACTATTAAAAACATAAGTGTAACACCCCTTTACTACATGTGTAACTCCCTTTATGACAATGTCAAAATACTTTGGGCTGCATGTATAGTTATATATCACATTGTTACAAGTTTTATTTCTTTTAATTTTGATCCCAATAATCAAATCCAAGTTCTTGAAGACCCTTGGTTACATGAATCCTTAGACCCATCACAAATTCAAGAACTTTTTGATGTCACGCCAGGAATGCATGAATTACTTGATCAACAACTTTGTGATTATCTTTCAACTATCATCTCTGAAGCATCTGTAGAAAAAAATAAAGATATAAATACTATTAATGACCTTGTTACTAAGTATAATGTAAAAACAGGAAACATAAAATGGTGTAATCAATGTAGTATGAGAGAAATAGAGAATTTAAAGTGTAGGTGTCCTCAGTGTAATGCACTTTTACCTTTACTTGCGGACTTTCAAAAAAAGGAACAAGAAATAAGTCAGGAAGCATCTGAAAAAAATATCACAAAACCTTTGAATATTAAGCTCCATCAAATTGAAAAAGACATACCAGATTTGAATATAAGCTCCATTAGTGTAACACAAAAGTCAGCACCTGATGAAGGTGTCAATACACCACATATTTTTATTCCTGATCCTTTGTTAGTAAATCCAAATTCTATTGCCAATGTTTGTAAGGTTTTTGATCACATACAAGAAATCAGTGGGATCAACAAACAAGAAAGAAAATGGATTGCAGTTGTATGTGATGGAGTTCCTTACCATCATGCACAAACAATTAAAAAGGAATATCCTGGAATTATCTTGTTGCCTGGAGCTCTCCATGAGGAAATGAATATGCTTAAAGCTTTTGTAGAATTGAATTGGTATATTCTAAAAAAATAAGTTTTTTAGTTATTATTTAATTAATGAAAAACCTTTAACATGTCTTCTGGATTTTAGGGATATTGATTTGAAAAGCTTTGCTCTATGCCAAGGTTATCTCAATGAAAAACAATTAGGCTATTTTAAAAAATGCAATGACTATCATAAAGCATGGGATTCAGCATGTAATATTTATCATCATGCCATGGCTATGGAATTAGTGTGGCCTTATCTTACTACTGTTTCCAATCCTTGTGTTGATGGATATCTCAGCTGGGCTAAAGAACAAAAAGATGAATTATACAAGTTAAAATATGAGCAGGCAATTCTATTATTCTTACTATTTAAAAATTTTTTTTTGAAAAATAAATGACTCTTAATAAAAATATTTTCTCAATTTCAGATCTTTTGTTACTTACAGGCAATAATTAATTTTCATGTAAGCATTAGAACTAATCAACCTTCACTTAAAGCTGCTGCTTGTAGAATGTTTGCTCCAATTTGGTCTGCAAGGAGACACCCCATTTATAGATTAATTGAATTGACTGATGAGGAACAATTATTACGTCTTCATCCTGAAATTTGCCAACTGATTGAGAAAAATTCAATTGTTTCGAGATCAGGATGGTTAAATCAATATCAAGGATTGGATGCTATACTTGAAGAAATAAATAAGTCACTAAAAACACTTATTCCACCTGTGCCAACTCAAAAGCATTGGATAATTGCAGGAAGAAATTGCATGAAATTCATTATGGTAAGTTATCTTAAAAAATTAATAATCTTAATATTAATATATTTTATATTTTTTTAATAATTTTTACAAATCTTCTTTTTGACTGGCAGTTAAGAAAAAAATTGCTTGCTACTATTGGATATACTGGTCAAGAGAGTATAGGTCCTTGTTCAAAACCATCTTTTGAGAAATAATCACAATGTTTTCATGTAGAATTGAGGAAGAAAGATTTCTTAAATCCATTTAAACTTGATCCTGTTTTTGAGAGTTTAGATGGAAGTAAAAAATTAAGTGAAGGTATGAAATCATTTAGCAGCATGGCTCAATCTTGCTGAAGAAACTATATAAATGAGAAACTGAACTCAAATGGATTACCAAGAAGAAGTTTTCGCCCTATTCCAGTTACCTTTGATGAAGAAGAAAAATATTTGAGTGAACAATCAATGACAAAGAAAGAATTATTAAATGTAATTCATACATTGATTGGGGTCCTTGAATGAAAATAATCGGCTGCAGTTTAAAAAGTTATCATCAAAAAAAAAAGATGATTTATTACTAATTCTGCAACAAGTCAAAGATCTCAATGATGATGTTGATGAATCAGAGGAAATTATTTTAACTGAAACTAACATTAAATGAATTAAGAGATAAGTAAAAAAATATATGTAAATTATTTTATTTATTTACAGCCAAACTTTGTTTATAAGAAAATTGCATCTAACAAAACCTGTTACTAATCACATTTCACGAATTTTATATTATGTGTTTAAAAATTTGTTAATTATAATTCATTGTAATGCCAATTTTATAGCTCGTTGAAACAAGTTTCATTATAACACGAATTTATAATTCGTTGAAACAAGTTTCATTGTAATGCGAATTTTTAATTTGTTGAAGCAAAGGTTTGATTATATTCATTTTTTTCAATTTATTGCAGTTTTTACCAACTACAGTTTACTCTCTTTATAATGGATCTTCCTATAATGGACTGACAACAATTTTATATGTCCCATATTAATATATATATATAAATCACACTGTCTATAATGGATTCTTTCTATAATAAACATTTTTTCATAAGCCAAATGGCCTGTTATAAAGAGAGTGAATAATAATAAACTTTAGTATATTTTACATTTCATGATTGATACAAAAATAATAATTATCGGGAATCTTTATTCCACAACAATTCTAGAATGTCAATCATTGCAGTATTTAGAATTTCCAAATTTGGTAAAATACTTGACTGTAATAAAAACTCGAATTGAATGTCTTCAGTCCCTTATTTTATACTCTTGTTTTGTATCAATTGTCACCAAAATTTCCACATTGTTTATTTTTCATGTTCTTTATTTTGTAAAAAATTTTCAAGTAAGGTTAATAAAAGAGCGGAAAAGAATCAAGGTCTCAAAGTTTTTTTTTGTCTTCATGTGAAAATAGAAGTGTGAATGGGAATTCACATCTTGCAAGTAAACTTGTAAAACTAGTGAAGTATTTATATATTTTAAACATTACAATTATATTTAAAGAAATTTTAAATAATGAATAGTTTGACAAATAATTATTATTTTTATTTTTATTATTACATTTTTATTATATTTCTTTGTTATATTAATTACACAGGAAGGATGTTTGTTAATAGATACTTGTCATGTATTTATTATACTCATTATTTGTGTTAATTATATGGGGCATGCTGCAACAAAACCAAACAAAGTGAACATTGGTATTACCAAAATTTCAGGGATTAAAATTAAAGATAGTAAAATGTAAAAATGTATCCGTTAACTTTTATGAATAATTTATTTTTATACAATATATAAAGATATATGTAATTTATTAAATAAAATATTATAAAAATGATCTTTTAATATTTACAAACTGGTGAAGAAATCACACTTATTAAAAGGTCTAATCCCAGACGAGCACCATCATCATCGTGTAAAATTAGATTTTCAATAGCGTTTAATTTTTGTCTCTATACATATGATAAAAATTTATATACAAACCATTGCTTATTGCAAAAGTTGTGTGATCTCTTGATTTTTGCTCATCCAATATACAACATCCATAGTTGTACACTTGTAGTAGATCACCACTTAGAAAATTTCTGCCAGTTTTTTTTAATTCTATTATGAATAGAATGTTATTGGAGTTCACCTTTAGACCTTTTCATGCAAATGATATATCTGGCGCATACCCTCATAAATAATGATTATTTTTGGTATGTTCAAATTTAACAAACTTCATTTGTGGATTGAGAAGAGACAACTGCTCTTCAAAATAATCTTGTAACCTCGATTCGCCATCAAAATGTTTTTTGATCATAAATAAGTTATCAGGTACTGTGATGTTTTTTGGTTTTTCAAACCAAAATTCATCACAAGATAAAATCATTGCGACTCTTAAAATATGTCTCCATCTCTTATTATTGGTATTGATCAATAATTGCATTTGGTTAGGCAACGTTAAGTCTTTACAAACATTACCCCTATAAGTGTTCTCTAAAATAATTTGTAAATATATAAATGAAATGAGTGAAAGTATTTTTTCTTTTTTTACATGATTTGTTCATTACCTATATTCTTTAGTCTTAATTTTCACTTTAAGATGGCAACTTTTTCTAGTTCTTTTATCCTCCGTTCCTAAAAGAATTGTTGTGGAGAATAATTGTGCATAAAAAATGGTTTATTTTTATATTTAATAATGTTTGCACTAAATATTAATAATTGGAATATATATATTTTTTTTTTTGTCATGTTAAGTAATTTTATTAATAATAGGAACATCATACATATTGTTAAATGTTACAAAATTAATCTACAACCTACTTAATTCACTCTCTATTTTACATTGAAATAGAAGAATGCTACATTACCACTGTAAGCTCTACATAAAGCAGGTGATTCAATAATCACACAATTAAGATTAACACTTTATGTCTTTGAGTTAAAAGATACCAGTGGAGTATCAATAATTGGAAGATATACTTTTATGTCATCATTTTCTTTATTCTTTCCATTCGCACTAACACTAAGTAAACAAAAAAAGATAAAGTTATATATAAGTCAAAAGTTTAAATAACAATGATTGCTACTACCATTCCTTTTTTTTAAATAAAATTAGAGTGATGATGAGTGGTGATAACCACCATTCTTTTGATAAACAATACTTACTCATTTAATTTGCCCTTTACATTTTGTTGTTTTTTTTTTCCAATTTTTTTTTTATTAGGCATTTTTGTAGATGAGTTAGTTGAAGAGAATCCTTTTTTTGAAAAGAAAAATTTGTTATTAAAAAATAAACTCGAGAGTAAAATAATTATTATTATTGGCACTTGGTGCTGTATAAGGTTGTGGGCGAAACCTCTTAATGACTGTCGAAACTCTGTCGAAACTCTAATGAACAATTAATGTGTAACCTGTCGAAACTCTGATGATTGGCGAAAACCCCAAATGCGAAACTCTGCCGAAACTCTAATAAACAATTAATGTGTAACCTGTCGAAACTCTGTTGATTGATTTCTGGAGGAGTTTCTCCCGCAACCTTAGTGCTGTACTAAGGTTTTTTTGCATCATTTTTTTTTTTTTTGAAAAACAATTTATTTTTCAATGACAAAGCATGAGTGATGTTATTTGGTATGGCTTGGTTCTCCTAAAGAAGAAGTGTCAATAACTAACCAGAGGTACTATTTTTTATTTGTATTGATATAATGTGGTGTCTTTTATTTTATATAAATACTATAATTGGAATCAAAATGCAGTGCAGATCTTGCTGGGTAATTATAAGAATCTCATCAAGATGGTAAACAATTGGTATTTTGCTTTTGGTAATCAATATTAATAATAATATTAATAATAAAATATATAATTACAAGAAGGTGCCAAGACAACACACTGCTGAAAAAGAAACATGTCGATATGCAATGTTTGATTATCAGAAATTAGCAGGCATTAAATCACGCACACTACCTTGAACACTTATAGTCATTCACACATCTTCCTCATGTACATAAGGCTAATCTGACCTGCATCCCCCAATGGATATGATATGCAATTAAATTTCAGGGGAGGAGCGCATGGCTCTGGAATTTATTAAAGCTTCATCAATCGTCAAGGACACTTTCACTAATCTTCCCTCACAGCTAAGGTTGTGGGCGAAACCTCTTAATGACTGTCAAAACTCTGTTGAAACTCTAATGAACAATTAATGTGTAACCTGTCAAAACTCTGATGATTGGTGAAAACCCCAAATGCGAAACTCTGCCAAAACTCTAATAAACAATTAATGTGTAACCTGTCAAAACTCTGTCAATTGATTTCTGGAGGAGTTTCTCCCGCAACCTTACTCACAGCACCCAGACCAGAGAAGGCTGCTGCCATGTTAGCCAAAAAGTTTCCTTCAACAATCCTACCTTTAGGATGGCTCTGCAACCAAGAAGTCACAACCCTGGAGGAATATTAAGAGAATCTGCAGCTTGTTTCAAGCACAAGAGGTTGCAATTCAGAGTGGGGTTTGTGACTCTGAAATTGCATTTGGGCTCTGGTGTTAAGAGGAAAGTTGTAAAATAAATGGTTCAGATATTTTTTTGGCATGTTATATGAATTATCATTCCCAAATTTTCTGTTTCTCTTTAATTTTTATTTGACCAATTGAATTTGTTATTTAAACAGGGGTAATTGATGAGTAGGTGCACCACAACAAAACAGCAACCCAGGACTCAAAACTCTGAATCCAAAACAGCAACTTCTCAGGTTGCAACCTTCTGAGTTGGAGAATTTTGAACCAGTTGCAGGCACAAACTTTATCCTAGAGAGGGTGATAACACAAAGCAATCATCACACAAGCACCAGCTATCAGTGATCAATGTCCATATGATAACAATCAAGCCTGATATGAGGAGAAGACAAGGGAAAGTTTTCTCCAAAGCCTACCAACATGTTCAAGTCCATTTCACCTGTGGGAAAAAAAATTCCATGGTGCTGATTGTGATTAAATCCACAGTCTTGCATGTTTGTGATAGGAAATTTCAATTAAATCTGACACCTGCAATCAACATCAGATTTATTATTCATAATTGATAATCAGGAAGAATAATTTATTATTGTGAATCCCAGAGACTTGAGTAAACACACAATATTGTTTCGAAATCAGACTTCTTGAAATTTCATTCCTGCATGGTCCTAGTATTATCATTACATGGGTGATGTAATTGTTTGTTACATCAATGACAATATCAAATGTATTGAATAATCATTGTGATGTATATGGGACAAAGGAATTCACACATGAGGAAAGGATTAGATAACAACAAAAAAGCTAAGTATTATCTATATAATTAATTATTTTAAAAAATTATTATTTTAATCCACATTTGTAATGCCATTAATTTCAATAATTATGAAGTTTCTTTAATGTTAATGATTGAAATCAATCACACAGGTGGTAGTCAATTTATTAAAAAATAGTATTATTTGTAATGATATTTGTAAAAAAAATTGTTAAAGGATTAATTTTTTTTTTGTAAAATGTTTGATAAAAAATAAATTTAAACATTTTGCTTTGTTTTTATTTTAGTAGATTTAATAAGTTTAGCAAAAATGCACATGATTTATTTAAAAAAAAAATATCAATCAACTTGTATAAATATGATTAAAAATAATAATAAAAGATATAGGAAATTGAAATTTACATGCACACAAACACTAATTTCTTTAGTCATTTTTTTAGAAATAACAATAATTCTCTTTTATTTATTTGTTTGTTAATTTTAGTCTGATCAATAAATCTTGGATTATTATTATTATTATTATTATTTGTAAATCAAATAGTAATTTCAATGATTTTTTGATCTTTTCTTTCAAAAATATCAATAATTCTCTCAAATAAAATGATCATTATTTATTTGTTTATCTGTTTCAGTTGATCAATAAATCTCAGGTCTCAAGATAATTTATCTTATCCATTTTAGTAATAATAAATAACTTAAATCTAACCAGTTGAACAGTTGAAGATTTTTCTTTTCTTTTTTATGAATATATGCTTGAAAAAATTTCTGATATTTATTTGTAGATTCACTCAAATTTAATTCTTTTGCTCATCACCACAGGACCAATTTTAAATTTTGAAATAAATGAATACCTACAAAGTGAACATAAAATTGTATATATATGGGTAAGTGTATATGAAAAGTAATAATAAATACAATGGTTCTAATGAATATCAAAAAGCAATTGATTTTTTAGAAAAAGTTGTAAATGTGGTTGTTCTTCAAGAATCCCCAAAGAAGGATTTGCAGAATTAAGGGAATCCTTTCAAGCTCTCACTAAATTAGAACAAGACATATTTTTGATGGCCCAACTTAAAGCCATGGATGGTGGATTAACAAGCACTAGCAGATGCTTTAAAAAGAAAACTAGATCTAATAAAAGAACTTTCTATCATTGAGATCATAATACACTTCTTTGTCAAGAAACTTACCTCAATATGTTGGGGATTGCAGGACTTATTTTGAAAATATTAGAAATCACCTAATAAATAATGGACTTCTACCAAGAATTCATGGTAATATTAAAAGAATGCCTCAATGGAAAACAAAAATGATGATCAACAAAGATGTTGCAGAAGTAGTAAAGAACTTTCTAGAAAATTATGCAGAAGTTCATGGATTACCAAGTCCAGGAAGAAGTAACAATAGAATAACTCAATCAGTTGTCTTTTTACCAGCTGAAATGAGTTATAAATCAGTTCACAGAGATTTTCTAGCTGGTCTAGAAGAAGATAGTAATTTGAAATCTTTAAAATATGATGCCTTCAGAAAATTATGACATCAACTGACACCAGAGATTCAAATTATGAGTCCCATGACTGATTTGTGTGACACTTGTCAACATTTTAGAGATGGTTTACATTATAATGCTTGCCAAGAGGAAGAAGCCAAAGATTTGCTCAAAAGGTTTAAAGAACATCTATCCGAGGCCAAACTAGAAAGAAATTATTATAATAAAAATACCAAATTAGCAGAAGAACAAAGAAAATTAGTTAATCAAAATTATTCAAAGGGTAAAACACAATATTGCAACATTGATGCTACTGCTCATTATAGTTATGATTGAGCCCAAAATGTTCATGTGCCACATTTAGATCAACAAGTAAGTAAAATCTATTATCTTAGTCCATGTAAAGTTCATTTATTTGGTATTCAAAATGAAGCAGTAAGGGAGTAAATTAATTATGTTCTTAATGAAGATGAAATTATAGGAAAAGGACCTAATGGAATTCTTAGCATAATTTTTGATGGAATTAAGAAATTAAATAAAGGTGAAAAGCATTTAAAGATTACTTGTGATAATGCTGGCGGACAAAATAAAAATAATGTAACAATTTGATTTTATTTATATTTGGTAACTTGTGGTTATTATAAAAGCATTGAATTAAATTTCATGGTTCCAGGA